TCCAACTAATATATGTGTCAGTATCGTTAAAATCGTATGAGTGATCTGTGGTTACACTTATTTTATAACCGGTGCCAGCAAAGTTTGGATTCAATACAAATGTGTCCTTTTGATTACAATTAAAGTAATTAAACAGTAATAAGAATTTTTAAATTAAAATCTTTTGATTATATTTAACAAAAATACAAGCCACAAAGAGTATAATGATGTATGATAAATGAATAACTGAAGTGAACAGAAGACTATATGAACATTAAATCGACTTTGTTAAAAATATCCCTCATAAGCTCTCAGTTTTCAATATAATTAGAAATCACTTAAACCACGTTTATAAGATATATAACTTCATTGTTATTGTGAAAATTCACTTAAATAGTAATAAGGAAATTTCGTATACCACAATAATAAATATACAATAGGCGATTTTGAAAGTAACTCAGTTTGTGAGACTTGTAACATGTGACGTGTTTCGTTGAACGTTTGATCATTACAGGTACTTATTGGAATATAAACATATTTGCTTGATTGAGTTTATTTTTTTCTATCAATTCCTTTTTAAATTCTAAAAATACATAATGATTTCATTCCGAATATAATTCAACAATAATGCATCTCAAGATTCAAAGCTCACACTTTTTATGTTAATATGAATATTTCAAAACACTTCAACGGAAATAATTATATTTTAATCATATATTATTTATTACTCTCCGACGAGTAAGATATTAATAGGATTTCATTTTCTTATGATTTACAGATGTAGTATATAATTTATAAATTTATGAATATTAATAAAAACGAATATTTTTATAGCGAGATAATAAAAAAGAAATGCTTGTGAATCACTCAACCAAATGCAATCACATTTTTTAATTTGATGTTTAAAATGATGAAATTGATCATGCATATTATGAGTTTATTATTTAAATGGTTGAAAAACATTTGAATATCTACTGCGTTTAGAGTCGTACCATCCCGTCACCAGTGCACACGGCACACACTAAATAATCTGCCAAAATTAAGCTCAAACGAGGGGGAGGAGGATCAGCTATTTTTGGTCACGTTTCCAGCATTATTCTGGCCGAGAGAATTAATAAAACTGTGCCAAAGATCAGATCCAAAAATAAACCATAATAAACCAAATATATTAAATCACTTTTGAATTCCCAACAACAATATTTTTATAAGATCTTAATGAGCTTCCAATCACTTTATTGAACTTGCGATTATACTTTCAACAGATTAGCACGTTATTTTCGGGTACTTAAAATTATATTAATTATCATAATACATAAGTATTCAATGAGTTTTACTAAAAAATTCCTAGCATCAGTTTCAACTTTCGATATGTTTTGATATTTTCAAAATAGACTTTTTTCAACTTTTAGTATGCATATTTGAAATAAACAATCATTTATACTGTGTATATTAAGTAAATGAGCATTAAAATAGAAAAATATTTAGTTGCCATATTGATATTTATGATAAAAGATTTCTGAAAAAACATTTTTTTTTTAATATCTAAAATTTAATGTTGTGTTTAAAAAGTTTTGGACAAGCACACTTCTTAAATCAACAAAATTAATGCATACCAAATTTTGGGAATATTTCAAAATAGTAGTATTCGATTTGATCTTATTTAGCATTTTTATAAGAAATCAAAAATTTGTTTATACTTAACTAAGACTTGAAATATTTTAATAAATTTTCAAATTTAAAATGCATCAATTAATACATCATGAATATGTGTTAATATTATTTTGACTAAATTTTGAAATTTTAAAACTTATTATAGTGTTTACAACACTTTGTATAAATTAAAAGATATTTTAAAATAACATAAATAAATTTAGAATAAAATAGAAAAAAATATTATAAATCATACATAAATTTCAAGATGTAAAAATAATTTAAAATTTAATGTTGTATAGGTAATAATAATAACAAATATGTTAATGAAAATGTTCAACTTTATTAAAATCATTTAGTTAATCAAATTGTAATGTTATTTTATAAAGTTTGTTGTATTATGTATTTTACCATCAAGTAGTTTAAAACTTTTGCAATTATAAAAATTAGTGATATTGAAAATGAGGTCAATGTCAAAACTGACAAATAGGATAATTTTGAAACGTACTAATTTACTAAAAACTCTAAATTTATTTCTTGACGAACATTACATAATTAATATCATCAATTTACGTTTTGTGGACTTATTTTCTACGCAATAAATGACTAAAAAGCATTTGCCAACATCCTCTTAACAAAATATTTACTTCATATTTACATAGTTACATGCATGAAATACACAAACAAAATTTTAATGTCTAAACAAAGTTCCCACACTAGAAAATAACCTTTTCGCGAACATCACGAATAATAATACTTTTGTTACTCATTAAAATTTACCTACAATAAACGTTATTAGAACAAATTTTTTTCATAAATATGAAAGTAAGAAATATCTTTACAAAATATGTATACTATTTCTTACGTAGAGAGCGATAAAAAATATATCATCGTGATAAAACCATCTAATTTTACAAAATTGATTCATATCTATATATAAGATTTCAATATTTTATGATAATGGATTTATAAGTCTGTAAATTTTCACAAAATAGATTGAGCTTAATGGTACCTATCAAAAATCAACTACAAAAATAACCATAATCATTAATCTATTTATTATACAAATAATAGAATAAAATAACGTAAACAAATTGTATATTTTGTTGTTCAGTATTAAAGCACAAATTTTTATGCAAAAAATATTGGAAAATATAAAAATATGGAAAACAAATTTTTTTATTTAATGCAAAACTTAAATTAAGGTGTATTTAATACAGAATCTAAAGTATATTATTGCTCTATGATTTAATATTACTAAAAATGTAACTTTTGAGCAATAATGCAGAAATATGCAAACAAATAAAATTGTACATAGTATCTACACATTTTGAAACACCGAAACTTTTAATCAACATTTTTCTAGCTAGGGCATTGAAGTATATACTTTTGCATAAAAATTCGACCCTTAAATCTAATCAAACACATTTAAGTAATTGATTGTGTTGGAAAATATACGGCGTGCTATTAAAATACACAACTAGATAACGAAAATACGCAGAATTATTTTAAAATAATGTAGAAGTAAACAATTTTTTACTGAAATATACAAAATAAAAATAATGTATAAATTCTACACATTACGAAACTCCAACATTTTTTAAGTTATTCTAATTAAGTAATTGTAAAATATGTATTTACATAAAAATTCAGACCTTATTAATAATAATTATTATTATTATCAGGTTAATCTGTTAAAATTATAACTCATAAAATAAATGCTCATTAAATCTAATGACGATACGTATTTATTTTTTATTATAGAGTATAAAATTTTTAACCAGCAGTGTTATTTTCTTTGGTGGTGAGGTGAATATTCGCCGCCCATGAAAAACGCGTGCTGGTAATTTTATCAAATCAAATTGGTGTGAAATACAATAAGTCATATGTGTTTTTAAAATTTTTGTTATAGCACTAAAGTATATTTTACATTATAATAGACTATTCTCAAATACAACTGAGAATACACAAATAGATAACGAATATTGTCACAATGTGTTAACATTTACCAAAAAAATTAAATGTTTTACATTCCAAATATCCATTTTGAACAAGTACGTAAAATTGCATTCGTATTAATCAAAATTTGCAAAATAGACATATTTAAGTTACTATTGTTTTTTAGTAGAACAAATTATTTGAAATTTTTTTTCTGACAATGTTATCAAGTTAAAAATAGTGGTTCCCGTCTAAGAACATTAAAGTAAACGTATTTTATACCTAAAGAAATGAATCATTTTACAACAATATTGATAATAAGAACTATTATAAAATAAATAACCTTTCTCTTGGAAATATTTGAAAATTTTGTCTTGTTTACGTGCGAATTTTAATTCTAACCTTACTTTGATAATATAAATATATACTTATACTTACAGTTATGAACGATTTTTCAATTAAAAGAGTACATTAAATAGTATAAACCAAGGAATTAGGATAATAGTAGAAGACCAATAAATAAACAGATAACGGGAACTTGCGCTTTTGATTCATCGATAATACTAATTGAAAAAAAGTATAGATGAAAAACAATGGTGTTGAAAATAACTTGTGGCTATTTGTTTATTTTAGCTTTACAGGCAAATGAGGTCATTTTGCAAAAAAGCTGTTTTGACTATCATTATTTAAGTTAATACCTTAATTTATTTATAGATGTTTCGACAGTGTAAAAATTTATGGAAAAGAACTACCTAGCTCAGTCTTTGAGAAGATATCTGAACTAACACAATCCANCATTTTGCAAAAAAGCTGTTTTGACTATCATTATTTAAGTTAATACCTTAATTTATTTATAGATGTTTCGACAGTGTAAAAAGTAATTTATGGAAAAGAACCACCTAGCTCAATCTGCGAGAAGATATCTGAACTAACACAATGTATAACTATCGTGTAGAGGGCGTTACTGCCATTTTAACTTTTTAACTGGATTTCTCTTTTAGAACTATAGGTAATTTTTCTAAAAAATTGACGTTTTATAGATTATTTTTATTTTTAATTGAAAAACTTAAACATAAAAATCGAAGAATTGAAGAATTAAAAAAAATTTATGATTAAAAAGGATCTTTTTGTAATATGCAATACAAAAATCCTCAGTAACATTTTTTAGAAAAATTGAAAAATTTACTCTGGACATCTTTTAAATTATCTTTTTTATGAATCTGTAATATGAAAAATTTTGGAAGTAATTAATAGTTAATTTTATGAAACTGATAAAATATTAACCATACATTTTTAAAATAATGATAGACATTCTTAGGAACCAATATAGAATTAAAAACATTATTAAATAAACCAAATAAATGTTTTGCTTAAATCAGTTCAAAATTATGTTAGTATAGTTACCATGATAAACTTAACGAAAATATACATACCTCATCACATGCTGAACACCTCGGTTTAAAGTTTTGTGCATAATGTCGTTCACAATACAAGTGATCTTCGTATAAGCAATAAGTTAAGTCGACTAAAAGTTCCTGGCATTCAGTGCATGTAAAACACGCAGGATGCCATAAAACGGTATCACCAAATTTTGACGCAAATACTCCAATCTCACCGGGTTCTAGATTTTTTTTACATTTAGGACATTCCTGCAAAATACACAACATCATAGTATGTTAAGTAACAAATATAATTAATATACCAAAAATAATTTTCTCGACATAATTATTATTTTAAGAGAAATCGAGTGGCTAATATAAAAAAAAAAAATCACTACATTGTAGAGGGGTGGGTAGCGGAGTGTTAGTCTCCCTTATTCTAAATTCTAAAAGTTATCTGAACACCCATTCAAATGTTCTAAATACGGCAATTTATAATCTCACGAAGAGATTATAAATTATTCATAGTTCTTTTAAATAATATTTCTAGGAAATTTTTAATGATTCTAGTTACAAGTATTATCTATGAATTTTTAGAATCGACCGATTTCGAAGTAGAAAACGCATATAAATGAGGAACTCTTCATATAGATAGATAAATATTGAAAAAGAATCTGTTGCACACTTTGTGTCAGAAAAATAATATTAACGAAAACATGAAAAATTACATACTCGAAATGCATTTCGTAAAATATAATATAAAAACTGTACGAATTAAAAAATAATGTAAAAATATTTCAACAAAAAAATTTAAAACGGGAAAAACTATATCAATTATAAATTTATTTGAATTACTGCAAACAAAAAAAGCTATTTATAGATAAAAGTGTTATTGTACAATATTTAATACCGATATTGAAGTCGTCATTATTTTTAACCGGATCGTTAAAAAGGTGTATTTTTTTATGACATTAAGCGATTATTGTAAGAATGAACAGATAATTAAACTAACCACGTGATAAGTGCACTCTCTCGCATAACCAATATCTAAAGCGATTTCATTTCTAGCATTTATGAAATCGTCGTAGCTTTGATGGTGCCTTTGTTCGACGTGTTTGCAGTATGTCAGCGCTAAGTCTTGTTTGGGAAGTTGAATTACTACTTGCTTGTCCCTATACTTTTCACCGGCCGTGCCGAGCTTAGGAACTTTGTTAGGCGGTAGGCTTTTAAAGTATTTTTCTACCTGTATAGATTGAAATGATAAGTAAGAAAATGCATAGCGTAATTCCGTGCTTACCTTATGACTAGGTAATCCAGGAGGTACCCACGCATACCCTTGACTGTAGGATCTCTCCTTTGACACTCGCTTATCAGGATCTTGTACAGGCTTAAATCCGAGGCGGTCCCGCACGTTGATCCATTCCTCGTGCAGTACATCATGAGACTCCTTCGTACATTTGCAGCTACCACATGTTTTCCTACAATAAAATAATTATATAGTGTTAATAACTCATCGCATTTTTGTTGCCGTTAATCATTTCACAAAGTATATTTAACGAAACAAACATGTCGAGTACAAGCGTGACGACACCCTCGTCCAATTACCTAATAATAAGTTCGCAAAGTTCTTCTTGCCCGAAGACTTTGCCGTAAAGTTCGAGTATTCGTACACACGCGAACTTCAGTCCCGGCCAAGGGATTAACGGCGAGTCCAAGCCGCTGTATAACGGGCAACAATGAGCTTTTAGGTCTAGCATATCCTTTGGCACCGGTCCTGTGAGAAAGTACACAATGGATGCATAAGGTACGGGACCACAACAGACACACACACAAGCAATCAGTTTAATACACGAAAGGGAAACGCGCCACGTTTACAGACGGACTCGACAATACTCAAATATAAAGAGTGATTTATCAATACTTATTTCTCGATCGAAACACAATCTGATAACACAAGTGATATTTTGATAATGAGTAAATACAAAGTACGTTTAACTTTTGTTTGTACAAGAATATATTTACCAAAAAGTACTTTTTGTTAACATTTTTAATATAAATGAATACATTAGATGTGAAAAATATGAAAATCAATTATCAATTCCGTCTGATAAGAAATTGTTTTTTTACTGTCGCGCGTCTTATGTTTGTTATTCAATTACAATAAGTGAGCAAATTTTAAACGCTTTTTTTTCGTCTTACATTGAACACACATCATGAATACAAAATCATTCTACAGTAGAGCTATTACTGTATATATGATAAGCACCTGCAAAATGTTTTTACTTAATTTACGTTTGATGAGTCATGTCCGCATAATTTATATTTAAGTGATTAGATTTCGGTATAAAGTAATTTTAATTACTACTCGAGTTCCGAAAAACTGCGATTATTATAATGTTTAATAAGTTGTACTGAAAACAACTATGATCAATATTTATTATTTCATAGGTTTGTTAAAAAAATGTATTTACGCATTAAAGGTAGGTCGTAGAAAATAATAACTAATGTAATTTTATAGATTCTGACACGGCTTTGCCATTGTTTTATATATTTTTTAAGTACGTTTTTCTACTTAACCTAACTGGGTTAATGGATTTCCTTTAGTTGTCAACACAAATACAGCAACGCGAAAGAAATCGTAAGCCGTTCCTCATGCACCACAAGCCATCATATATTTAAATGATTTTTTTATTTATGGGTGCGACATCTGCACAATTTTTCACAGCCATGATCGGTGAAAAAAGCATAACACTAGTCATTCATTTAAAAATCTTAATAGTGTTGAATCACTACGATTTTGTATAATGACTAGATGGAGACTGAAATTTGATAACTTTATGATAGTAATCTTCCAACATAAAACAAAAGCGTATTTAAATCAAACAACATAAAACATTATAATTAAAATTTATCCAACTTAACCCTATTCCTTTAACAATAATAATCTTAATCTTCTCAGCGCAATGGATTACGACGTAATTACTCAGATTTGCACGATAAGAATTCACTTAAATAGAAATGATTTATTTCAAATGGTTTTAATTCTTTGAAAAACTTATGTGATTATAACCTAGTGACGTACGTAATCAGTGAGCACATGAAAAATAAAATGTTTTTTTTTTTTTAAATGTTACAATAAATTAATTTGATAAAATACTATCAAAAAAGACTATGTAACTCCTATTTAATCTATTTCAAAACGAATGATAATTAATAATAGTAAAAAATATTTGCTTAGTTGACCATAACGACAAACGGACAAGAACGTTTTTTGGAGACGAAATTTTTATTTTAGAAGAAATTCTATTTTCGTACACAGCTCATTAGTTGCTCATGTGGAACGCTCGACTTAGTTTCAATCTATCGCGTTTGAACTACACTTAATCTATTGGCTGAAAAATGATTAAGAAACCTCAGACCCGAGTCTTAACTACCTCGTCAACACATCGATTATTTTCGATGAACACTTTGCTTCAAACCCTTATGATACAATTATTCTTAGGGATGACCATTTTCTAAGTATTTCTGAACCCATCGTACAACACAAAATGCTTTTCAACACTTTGTCAATATGCTTTAAACGAGCACAGTTAATTTTTCCATTAAAAACTCAACAATACGAAGGAACTATTAATGACCGTTGTTGTTGTCAGTATTAAGACATTGAGTGTTTTTATAGGTCCTGAAAAACATTATTTACAAAATAATTTCTAGAAAAATGAAACGTCTGAATTTCGGAGATATTTCTCGAGAGACAGCGGCGAAAATTAATCTAATAATTTCGCCTTGATCACCTTATTCACAGCACGCCTGTGTAATTACACAGTTGCTATGAATACTCGCAAATAAATAATTAGAAAATGTGGCAATCGACTGCCGCCAACATGACGCACGAGAAATAAATAAAAAATACTATTGTCGAGCTTACTTCGTAAAATAAAAAAAAATCCATAAATATTATATTGAAATGAAACTCAGGTAAGTACGTTACTGTAATGCGATGATGTGTTGCACTGAAATACTATTATCTGTCTGACGCCGTGGTGTGCTCTATTGACCGTGTATCGCACTAATCAAAAACAAACAAACAGAAACTGTGTTAATTAAATCTGACGGATTGCCGTGTAAGACATTAGCAAACGATATGAATGGACGAAGAAACGCACTGAACTCGCGCCGAGATGGTTTTGTGGCCGTCGGTCTGTCCTAATGCGTTTTGATTTGTAAACGAGAGAAAATATAACAAGTACATTTCACGTACTCGACGCGAACATCGGCAATATCATTAAAGCGATACTGTTAACGGTACAAAGATAATGAGGCGCTCGTGTGGCGTGTCAGTAGAACGTTCCGTTCAAACGACAGTTATTCTCGACCATTCCGAGTGTGTAAATGATAAGACCGGTCGGCGACACACCAGCTGCTGTAATCAGAATATTATTAGAATAATCAGAATATTACGGTAATGTATTAGTATATCGGCCCGTGTGACGTCCGCACGGTGCGTGTCTCCTCCTCGTTAGAACCGGAAAAACGACAAACGGTCACCGCTGTTCGCGCGTTGTTTTCACCGAGCTTAATTTACTTTAGGAAAATCCTATTTGCTCGTACAACCGTTCACCCCGACCGTCGTTATTGTGGTTACCCATCTTTGTATTGTCATATTTGTCCACTTGACCGCTCGCAGATTAAGTTCGTCTTTGGCACTCGAACAGTCCCATTGGGCAGGTCTCGGCCTCAATACTAAAGTCCGTTTTGTTTTCGCGGCATTACACACTCCGCACGCGAAACAAAGTCAATTTACAAATAGACTTCAAAGCCAACCTACTGGCTAATAATAGATAATTACACGGTTTATTGTATACGAGTATAGGAACAGATACTATTATATTTCCGAAATCGCGACTTTCGTTTCGACGGCGTTGTTGTCAATAGACACAGTGTACTGCACAAATATTAAGTAGATTATCGCGTTGTACGACACACGAAAACTATTTAGCGTGGGCGGAATAGTATACTTCACACTGTGGTGTCCATCCAAATATTTCACTTCCTGCACAACTCGTTGCTATTGTCTCGGAATTTATGTCTTTTCGTTTTTGGACGTTTGCCATCATTCGTAACAAATTATTAGAGCAACCAGTTATTTATTCGTGACGACTAATTAATAAATTACGTTATCGCCGCGAGTCTATTAATAACTGGAAATCAAACGACGAACAAGAGAAGATTCGATTGTCAGTACTCCGTTGTTTCCCGACCGAAAGCAGATAGGCAAACAATAATGTTTACAAGTGAACACGCGTGCCCCTTGGTATTTACAAGATACTCGACGGCACAAAAAACACACGACAGAAAAAAATCGAAGGGCTGCATTTAATTATGCGATTTAAAATGTCATCAATTTTGTCGCGAGTTGTACATGAAAATATAATCAAATGTGTTGCTCACGTGCTATCGACTCGCAGTGTGCAGTTGCTGCGTTATGATAATAAAAATTTATATTAATTCGTAGCTTATACGGTTAAGTACTTGTGGCCACAATAATAATAAAACAACTCTTACTGAATAAGGAGAAGGTCTGTCCGTAAGGATAACGTCAACAACAGTAACCCAAGTGCATTGTTTTTGCACCTTACAAGTTATTATTATTAACTCGTCTGTTCGCGTACCTCTGGGAATCTTATATTTTACACGCATTAACTGTTTATTTTTAAAACGCCGACACAGCAGAATAGTAAAAAATTCATTCATCAATTATGCGACTAGTTATGCACATTAACGCGTTGCAACAAACCGTTTTTGTAATATATTATATAACATATGCAGATATTTAAATACGAATCAACATTTTCCGCCTGAATGGCATTCCAGTTAAGGTTTTCCACGGCAGAAATACGAGTACACACATTAGCTCTCTAAACGCTAGATGTTAATTACACTTAAAAAACTGGCATGTTACTCATAGTGTGCCCATGTCGTGTGTACACGTATTGAATAGCGTATATTCGTTATCAACTAGCGGCTTGAAAGAATGCGATTAAAGATTAAATTGCGTTTTTAGGAGTAATTGCGATAAATTCATAATTGTGATCGCTAATGGCACGTCGGACTAATGAAATTGAGTGCGTTATTATTGTGCGAAAGAGAACGGACACGGAAACACGCCTGTTTCGGGTAAAAAACTTACAGACTGCTACCGTATACCGACAACACGTTCATTTATAACTTATTATTAGCGTTTCATTCGCGTTAACAGACTTCACATGAGCCTATGCTCAGTACTACTCACCAGATTATAAAAAACGCATTAAAAACGGACGTTCGTAAAAAAAATATAAGCATTAGTGTTTTCAGAAATCGTCAGCTCTAACTCTAATCATTATAACTGACATTATACGGTTTTTCATGCGTAAAAAAACAAAATAAACATTTTATGTTTTGTTTTTAACCGTTCTCTGATTTATAAGAACAACTTATGCGTTTGTAACGGAGATGACGGCACTCATTTCCGCTTACTCGGTAATTATTTTAAATTATATCCTGTAATTGTCTACAAATTATACACGTATACTATTATATTAATGTTATCATTAACATTATTCGATATATTTCCAGAGTTATTTACCTAAACATCACAATAGATTCCCATGCATTAAATGGATGTTGACACGTTTATTAGTTACAACTCAATGTGTCTTTGTTGTACATTGTGATAAACATTNCGATATATTTCCAGAGTTATTTACCTAAACATCACAATAGATTCCCATGCATTAAATGGATGTTGACACGTTTATTAGTTACTACTCAATGTGTCTTTGTTGTACATTGTGATAAACATTTTTTTTTGTATAAAAAAAGAAAACAAAGATTTTGGCTTAACAATAATTATCCTCGCAACTTTTCTTAGTTTTCGTAAACAAACAAAAACAGAAACGCTACAAAGTTGATTCGATTTAAGAGTATTATAAAAAGAGAAAAGTAATTGAAATTTCTCAATATTATAGATCTATTGAATATCAATTGTGTTAATATTGAATGTTTATTCAAACGTGTGTAAAACGAAGGTTTCAGTTTTCAGCGAGAAACTTCAGTTTAATTACTGTACATCTTAAGTAGAACGAAAATTAAAATTAAACTAGTGACTTACGCATAAAGATCATGTTTTATTAAGCTTAAAATTATCTCTGAAAGACGCAAGTAATACAAATTGATGATCCACACTCATTACACTATGAAATAGTTTTAAAAACGCCTATAAAAATCGTACTGCCAGAAGCAATTAAATTATGTTTTTGCGGTAAAAATAGAGTACATATTAAAAACATTTTGCAAAATACGACGTTAATTAAATGAAAGTAAAATAAACCACTGTACGCTATGCTTACAATTAATTATTGTGTAGATTAAAGTAATAACGGTAAACAACAACAACAATAATAATATTAATACAAAAAATATTAAATTTTAAATTTTATTACAATAAATAAACTGAATTATAAAAACGATTTATTATTGTTGGACACATTAGGGAAATTTATGTTTTAGTTAAAAATCCAGTGTGTTGCAATTAAAATAGTCACCCAGAAATATAATAAATGTTAAAACTACCTCAACAAATTAAAATCGATGATAATTACGATTGTAAAAAAATGATTCAAAAATTTTTAACTATCAACTTAAATGTAAAAACCACAATAATAATTCGCACGGTACAGATCATTATGATTCGGTGTAGTTTCTTGACCTATTCCTCGTTTTTACATTAAATAAGTACAGTGAAAACACAATATCAGAGTTGCGACCTTCAGAACTCTAAATACAATTTAAACGTATCAATAGCGCGATTATTAAATAATTATTGTCACATTGTAAGTATAATCATACAACGGGCACATGTAAAATTTAACGCTTTCTCAAAACGCGAATAAAGTAAAAGTCAAAATGAACAAATTAGTTGTGCCAATCGGTAAATTTCTAACGGCGCCGATTTTGTTGCTACTTGAGCGGATTTTCATCAATTCGATAAAATTAAAAACACGGCAGTAATAAAAAAAAAAAGTCATAAAACGCGAGTTGTTTTAACGGGTTTTGACGCCATTAAAAATTTAAAATCAACCACTTCATTAAACTAATTTCGAAAACTGCGAAGTTTTCTTTGAAAGCACGCAGTTTTCGATAACACCCTTACGAATTCTTATCATTGATGTGTTGACAACATTCGAAATGGCTGAGCTTATCAAACGAGATAAATTAATGTAACGTGTTTGTCAGAATTGTGTGTACGTACCGACCGCCAATTTGAATAGTTTCTGACTACTAAACACAAACGATGAACGAATTGAACAAACTGAAAACTGTTCGACGTGGCAAAACACTGTGGCAAAAGTCACGACTGTATGTGGTGTCGATTAGCCCCGCGGATTTATATGACCAGAAGGGGTGGCCCGTAGTACCCGTCGGAGGGCGCTCCCATAAATATTTGCCAAAACAAAAATTGTTCTCCTACGGGAATTCTCGAGTGTGAGTTAATGTGTTTCCTTTTTAGAAACGATTTTTAAGTGAGTAATTTTTAATATCGAATCGCCGTTGCTGTTGACAGCTCGACGGTAATGGGACCTGGTAAACAAACTGGGTCAGACGCGATTTGGCATTTTTTTTTTCGTTAAATCGCTTTTGAATTATACACAAGACTGAGTACGAAAGAACAAACGACGTAAAAGTCAATCACGACATTTAGAAATATTGTTCACAAAGTCCGACGGACGCTTAATTTGAAATGTTAATAAAAAGACCATGTAGTTCAGGCAAATAAATCACTGTTTTAACGCAAAACGCATTTATGGGTTAGTCGCGTGGCCATGCACGTCGACGTTAAAAAATCGGTGCACATAACAAATGTACTGTGGGAACGGTAGAAATCATAGTAAAAAACGTTTTACGCCGCGAAAAGCGATTTTGCCGCAAGACGTAAACGGCGTACTGGCAAAGGAAACAAACGCAATTTGTAGTTTTCAAACGCGTACGCCGACAATATTGATGACTCCGGTAAAAGTTTGATATATTACACACACACACACACACACTTGTGTCTAGACGTGCATGCCAACTCTAATGGAAATAGTAAATACTACTGCGATTGTTTGCTACTGCGCTGCTCCTATGGTGTTAATGCTGTGCGTCCCGTCCGAAGGACTTGCTTGTCTTTGCAAAGACCGTTGTGTGGTCGGTTGGGAAATTCCAGACTTTTCGCGCGTTCGCCGTCGACCGGTTGCCCCGGACACGCTGCACGCTGACCAGAACAACCGGCCCAATTTGTAACCACAATGACATTTACACTCGCAGTTTCTCGAACAGGTCATTACCGCCGCCATGGCACGGCCACGACGTGTAACGCGACTACTGCTGCGCAATACCAGAGACACGTTGTTTTTGGGTCAGATCGTTTTTCGCTCGACAACGTCCACATCGGCAGAACTATTACGACAATGTCGCGCGGTGGTTGTAGAGAGGACAGCAGGGAAGGGGCCGGAAAAAATGCTCGATGAAACGACGCATAGCGTTATTGGCGACTCTTCCATAACCATTTCACGTCCAAAATGACGGGAAAAAAATATCATTTTCAACTGATTGGACGGCATTTTGACGTCAATCGATTTTACGGCACAACCGGTCGAGACTAAAAAACTACATTAACATAATATTTGAACGTCACGCCTTTGTGTTGCGTGTCTATTCAAAAGCTAATGCACCGCGGCGATCGCCAACGAGTTTGGAGATTAAAAGAGTTGCCGCGATTTGCGTCTCGCCGAAACCCATTTTGACATGTTTTGTAATAAACGTATGAAATGTCACACGGGTAAAAAAACGACGCTACAGAATTTCGACAAGCGGGCGGTGGCGGCCACCGCATTACGCACACACGAAATTCTGCAATGTTTCATTTATATTTGCATTTTGATTCGCTGGCTTGCAAAAACGCAGTCGTCGCACGTTGCATTCGTACGGGCGCGTCACAACAGCGTTCAATGGAGAAATAATCCGTTTGGTACGTCGGCCGCACCGGAATTCTCAAGTCTTTGGCTTTTCTCGTGTCGCTCGAATTTCGTCTTCCATTCTCTCTTAAATTGCACTCGGCTGGTTTTTTACACAAGAACACAATGCTCGTACACACAAGGAGAAAAAGAAACGCGTGCAATTTGTTCCGGTTTGCTCAATCCGGACAAACCGCCGCCCGTATATGTTGTGTATTTCGTGTGCTCGCACTCCTATAAAAATCGAGTGACGCAATTCGCATGGCCGTTGCGCTAGTAAAGCGGCGAAAAACAGCCGAATCGAAATTTGTTACACTGCGGTGCCGAACTGTTAACGTGTACGGCTGTAACGGTAACGATAACGTCAACATAATAACACGTCTGTCTGTCATCACATTATCATCAGTCAAACGGTCTGTGGAAACGTTTCCGAGCATGACATGCCAGTCCGAATGTCCGAAATGGGATACAGTCCGCGTACATTGCGACTACAGCTTTTTGCTAACTTGTTTTTTTTTTTATGCTTTCCATTACTGTGTGGTAGTAATTGTTTTATTTTTCGTCATCGTGATTTTTAACTAACGACGTCCGATCGTAAAAGTAAAACTGAATCTATTTTACTCGCGAGGTCGACATAGAAATAGCTTTTTTACGCATTTTCACGACTAATTAATTTGTCGTATAAACACATTGAGAAAAATACATTTCTTTTATTAGATCTCAAAGACAACAAAATGCCAAATTAAACGTATGTAAACAGGATTGCTCAAAAGTGTAACGAACTAACGTCAGCCAAACCAAACAAATATATAAAAAGGTTGCCAAATTTATCTGTCAGGCTTGTCTGAATTCGTTATTTTTTTAACTATGCAAAGTGTCAAAGTCAATATCGATTAGGTGAAAATTAAATTCACAAAAAAAAAAATTATTTTGATCAAAGAGGTCGCCACACCCAAGTACCAAGTAATCTAACTGCTTACGCATTAAAAGTATATAAACATTTTTACAGTCTACAACTAAAGCAAACATTGAACGGTCGATAGATGACAACAGTCGTTCAATTAATTTAGACAAAGGTCACTAAAGGGTTGTTTTAATACACCCTTAGTCTATTTTCCGTCTACTTTTTTTTTTTTTTTATATGACACTAAAAGTTAATCAAGATCAATACCCTGAAAATGTGTCAAGAAAAAAGAGAAACATAGATGGACGGTAGTGATTTATTAAAGCGAAGCCCTTGAACGATAAAAACGAAGGTGTATCACAATGACCGTTGTAATGGAAAGAAATCTCAGCTAAAAAAATATGAATAATGGAAAAAAAAATTATTGCACACTTTTAGAAAACCCTGAACGCCAAAGTCTATTTCATTGAGACAATTAACATTTTATTTTTAACATGTTTTAAACATTAAATATATATATTCTTACAAATATTGTTGACGAAGTAATCAAACTTTCTTACGTCATCATTAACATAATAGAAAATTGTGTTTAAATAGAAAAGTTTGAAAAGTTCTTTTATGAAATAGTAACAATTTTATAAATTTCAAAAATAGTTTTCTGTGTCTGTCAGGACACAAGAAGTAAGTAAATTTCTTGTGGGAAATCAAAAATAAATAAAAACCATCGTTTAAAGGCAACAGCAGAATAACATGCTTGTTGTACTCAAATATTAATGCATCTTTTGACATTTTAACTTGAAAAGAAATTAATAATTAAATTTTTTATTTGGAAGACCTTTTAAACAAGTTCCCCGTGGGCCTCTACAAAATGTCAAAGTCAAAAGGTTACTCGTCTATGCTAATGGTGCATTACATGTACCAAGTATGAAGAACATAATATCTATAAATTATACAGAGATCATGTTCTTCTCATTAAATTATTTTTGAACTTTGTAAGAAAAAGTTTTCAACTTAATAATTAAAAAATGTTTAGTATTTTGATTTTTAGCATTAATAAGTCAAAAGAAAAATTTTCCTTTCAGCGTATTTCGTATCGTTTCCGACATAACATCCATCCCAATATATTGATCATGTTAATAATTAATTTTGAAAAGTATAACCTTGTTTTCTAATCTTTAGAGGAATTAACCTAAAAACTGAATACCCAAAGTGCTCGTATAACATTACATGATAAACTTTCGACATTTCGAGAGCTTATAATGAACTTACTATTTATTATTACGTACACTTTCTGAAAAAGTAAAAAATACAATATTCAGGTACATAACAATATGATATTGAAAAACTATCCAACTCAATAAAACATAATTTAAGAAATAAATTATACATTGATTTAATGGAATAAGAGTGTTTCGGGCTAATTGGAAAAAGTGATCGATTCGTCAGGATATTAAAAATGACAGGCAAAACAAACGCACTGTGCGTTTAAGATGTTCTATTGATATTACACTGTAGATTCTCGTGTGAATGAATCAAAGCGTTCAGAAATGTTCGGCTCAAAAGACGGTCAAACACCCAACTTGCTACAACCTTGACATTCACGTAACACTACAAGTCGTTTTGTTACAATCAGTCTGGTGTTACGTCTGTCGCGTGACGAATTTCACCATCGAACGAGAAAATTTTGTTTGGAAAATCTAGAGCATAGTAGGGGTGGAAACGCGACACGTGGGGGCACGTGCAGAATATAGGTATAAAACCCTGGACCGTCGAACAGAACAGTACAATCGTTTCAGAGCTCAGCAACAGCAATCAACCGGGAAAATACAATTTTCAAGAAAATTCAATCATGAAAACGTGTCAAGTGAGTAGACGAAACGATTTCTGATAACTGCAAATCGTTTGATAACTTTAAAACTTATTTGTTACAACGATGTTTACAGTTCATCGCAGCTTTGAGTATGGTGGCCGTGTGTGCCGTAGCCGTGCCCATCTTTGTCGATGGAGGTCAGAGGGGCAACATAGCCGAATCCGGAGAATCATATGTAAGTGAACTTTCTTATTGAACTCTAATCATGTTAAAACATTTAAATTCAATTTTGAACTGTAAAAAGTTCAAAATAGTAATTAGCGTCATTTTTTAGTCCATTAGCAAAGTTTTCCACTGGTTTTAGTGTACAACAAACGATTACTAATAAACATTCCATTCCTTCACTGATCTTTGATATCTTATCAGACGTTTGAATTTAAATTCCGTTAAATCACCATTCTACCTTTCTTTTTCTAATGTCAATATAAAAAAAAAAAAGATATCTCAATAAACTGTTAAATAGCGAATCATTATACAAATTTGTCTGGTGACAAGCTATTAATAATCACTTCGTATAATTATAATTATGCAAAGCTATAACGAATCATCTTCAGCATTAACAGTACATTATTTCAGTAATGCAGCGTAATAAAACTTGTAAAAAACGACCGAGATATCAACAACATTGAAAANAAAACTTGTAAAAAACGACCGAGATATCAACAACATTTTACTGTATGACACGACATTTATTAGTTGTCCAACAACTCAAGTGTAGATGAAAATAACATCGTCAATAAGATAACATTTACAAGAACCAAATAATAATTTTCCTAGTTTATATTTTCGTCATATTTTAAAACGCATTGTCCAATAAACACGAGCAGACTAGAGTAACGCACACCATTCAAATTTATTTGTATTATTTCGGTCACAATGGATCGCCAACACTCTTCAGCGTACAATCAGTAGGCGCATACACGAATAACGGCTGAGGAATTATCCATAATATTTTACTGACCTTCCTCACTTCCTTTTTATGAACTTCAACAGCCTCGTTTTCCAATGAGTCAATAGACATTTTCTTTTACACGAGTGTCTCATTCAAATTCTGCCTGTTGTTTCATTTTTATTTCAATGTGCTTTTTCTAACGTTAATAATGACGTAAAATTTTTGCCAGTTTTCATTCATAACGATCCGTGAAATTCGTTATTATATAATTGTTTTTTTATTTACCCTAAGGTATTTTTTATTGGAACGATCGCGAATCTCAATCGATACAATTAAATTTTTTTTTTATAAACGTACAATTAATAATTACACATATATACTAATCATATATATATATATTCAAATACAACATGAATGGGATTTAAACTTCCAGTGAAGTGGTTCCTAAATATACCGCTGTGAAAATATTTTAATTCGATTGTGTTGCAGGCACCAAAAGATTACAAGTTCGACTATGCAGTGCACGATCCCGACACTTACGACGTGAAGAGCCAATGGGAATCGAGAGACGGCAATGTCGTTAAAGGGGCCTACAGTGTCTTGGACCCTGATGGTGCCATGAGACTGGTCGAATACACCGCCGACCCCGAGACTGGATTCAACGCCGTGGTCAGCAGGTCTGACAGCGGAAACACAGCCTACAGAAAGCCCAGCAACGACGCTTTTGACTTTTGAAATCCATTTTTGCCCAATAATTGATTGTTCGGTCCAATTCAAATAAATATACTCGTTATACGCTCCATGTGTAATGTATTATTTTTAAGAAATATTGTTATTTTTATTATATAAGCGTGTGTGATTATTGTGTAATTGATTTTTTATACTGGTTTAATAATTCAACTTTGAAATAAATTAATACACCACCTGTTAATGAAAAACCAACGTCAATAGTTTTATTCCCGTAAAATTTATGGATTTAGTCAACTGGGTCTGGACTATCTCCGCGCGTCTCGTTTCAAAATGTAAGAATATGCCTAAAGTTAAATTCGCCTTATTCCGATGGTTTATGCCAATGCGGTACTTATTTACGACACGCATCTGGAACATTTCGGTTTGCTCGTGAGTAAAATAATTAGAGCAATAACGATTAATTAAATCCGCACCGATAGAGCCTATTTTCTCTGTTTTCCATCAAACATTTTAAAAATAATACCAATAAACACAGAAATGATAAATCGATGCAAAAGTGCTTTGTCCCAAGACGTATACTTCATAAACGTCGTCGGTTTTATTAAAACGAGGCCATTTTATTTTTTCAAAAATATTAAAACAAATTAGATTAAAAAAAAACCGCGTAACATAAATTATGGACACGTATGATTTGTACTTATGAAGAGTGTAATTTTGGTTAATTTTAAGTAGGAAGAAGCCAACGAGAATTAACCCACGACCGTTTTGATACGACTCGATTTGACAATAAAACAACCTGTTGAGTCACACTTTTCGGCGTCTCTCGTCCCACTCGCTAGTTACAATTACTCTCTAAGACACAGCGTAGTTATTCTAATACGTTCCGATTTATGCGACGTTTAAAAAACGTTTGTTAAATGTTTAAAAAGAAATTCTCGAATGACCGATAGCATTTCGCGTTATCCGCAATAGAGAGATAACCGCCGTTTTTTTGGCTACACATTTGGGTCAAACGGTTTTTGTCATGATTAACAATGCGCACTGGTTTTCAACCGAAAATATAAACCGCGTTGTTCGCATCGCGCCTGTAAACGTGTTCGATGTGTCGTTTTGGGTACCCGTCCCGCGCATCACTTACCTGTGCTGATCCGGACTTACCGGCTAAAAAATTACCACGAGATGTCGACACACTACTACCAGAGCACAACTCGTCTTAAAGCACTGTCATATTAATACACCGATACCGCCATCAGCCGACGCACTATCACACAATTTTTGTACCAACACGTGTGGCGCTCGACTAAAGTTTACCGTCAAGCTCGGCCGTTTGTGTCCGGTCGTAGATTTATTTTTATACGCGCCAGCTTCGAACCGACGACCGATGCCAACTGCAAGTGATGTCGAGGAGAAAACGCTTGTATATGTGCACGTGGCACTCGCGATCGCATGCAGTCGGCGGTGACAACGGCGCGAGTACGAAGATCATAAGGCACCGCTGCCGTAGACGAACGTTTTTAATTGTTCAGATACGAGAGCTCCGTCATTGACTGACACCGGAAGATCAATGGAGAGTTCGCGAGTAATGCAGTTCCGGTGCGATCAAGCGAGTGTCGGAGCGGCCTACGCTCTGGCCATTTTGTGACACTCCAACAGTGGAATCTGGCCAAAACGTCACAAAATTATTATGACGATGATAATAATAATAACAAAAACATTTCGCAAAGCCTATGAACCAGGTAACGGTTGCCAAACGATGCAACTCGTGAGACTATTTTCGAAACTTCTAAATAATTCATGTCGTTTTTTTCACGTAAGACACGTCAAGTATTATCACAGCAACTTTTAACCCACGCAAAACTAGGTTAAATTCAGTGCTGAGATAAGAGCTATCGAGGGCTCCGCTTTATGAATAGCCAATAGTGCTGATTATTACTTTTTGGCAAAACATATTTTTTTTTGAAAACTCGTCAAATTCCGAATCAGTTGAGCTGATTTATAATTCTGTGGGTACTTATGACATTTACAGTATTTTTTAATTGACAATTATTTTCTGAGTTATCGTGATAGTTTAAAATAACCGTCAATTGAAGTTCACTTAAATTTATACGAGTATGACGGTTAGTTTTTTAAAATCAAAAAGTTTAGTGTTCAATTTTAATGTAACGTAATTGATTTGAAATTGTCGATTTATGCGTAAATAATTTCGTATTACAATCATTAACCAACTATTTGTTCTCACTTTATAGTAGGTTATGAACAAATTAACCAACTGTTTTATGATGCACCGTAGCGTCGTGTTTCTATTTGACATTCCTCCAATGTATTTTGGCATATCATAATACACGTAAATGTAATTAATAATAATAATTAATAAATATTTACAATAACATTGCAATTCACGCAGTCATTCACAGTCGATAGCCTTGTCACTGTTTAATAATAATTATTTTAGCGGAGGTTGAGCAATATAATACACATATAAAAAAACGGTTGACGTACTGAATAATGACCGCCATTCAAAATTTACAAACATGTGCGTGTGTGTGTGTGCGATAAACTTTTTTTGAGTATTATGGAGTTGTTTTTCGAAAAGTAAACACTCATGCGGCACTTTTGTATGCTGATTATTCTGTAGAATTTTCGCTTATGAACGTGAAAAGGTATCAATTACTTCGATCTATCGACGCAATTCACAAATGATAAATGTCGAAGTCGCCATATTATAAGCATTCGTTTTTACAGTACAAGGTAAAAGCACCTAATGCATGACATCATTTAGCAAGTTTTGTATGCATTAGTAAAAGGACTATTGAATCGAAAACAAACCTCTAAGGATTAATTATTATCACCACAAAAGAGATACTTGAATAATAAAACAGAAACGTTTTTTATGACCGGTGTAAATATTTTAAAGTACGTTGTTATGACTAAGAAACAAAATTATACAATGATCTTCAATGATTCAGGTCACTTTGGGATAAACAGAAAATTTTAATAATAAAACTGTTTTGTAGTTTACGTTATAAACGCGCCATAAAATAACCTTTTTTTTTTTTTTTGATTATTATTTGAAGTTTATTGACTTGCACGTAAATAAGTATTTGCACAATAGGGTTTAATACGTGACACACTTTTAACAAAGCTTTTATTAAATAAAAAAATTAATTTACATAGTATTTTATATACATATATTAATTTTTATAATAAAAACAGATATAAAAAAAAAATTTCAATGGAAAGTATTAACGATATATTCACTAAAAAAATACCATTAGATTTTATTTAACAAAACCAGCAATATAACGATTGAAAAGGTTTTGAAATTAAAGAAGTTTATAAACGCAAAAAACATAATCAAATGAGTAAAAGAATATTTTTATAAACACAACAAACAGAAAAAAAATTAATTTTTTCAAGAGTTTCAACGAAATTTTTGGATTTTGAATAATTCATACTTGACGGATTAACTCAAATAATTTTTTTTTTTTTTTCATTAATTAAGAGATAGTTTTATTACAAGTCATTTTTGTTAATGGATAATGAACTTTACCTCCATTGGTGCGGTACAAATCCTGCGCAATTGTCGTGACATTCCAAGCAGGGCTTTCCTTCATAAATTTCGTTGGCTACAGCTCCCTGTGAAAAATAGATAATCATTAATTAAGTTTTATAACAACGCAAACAAATAAATTACAAGTTCAGATTCTTTTGAACAATTTTTCTGAATAGGATGTATGCGATAAATATTTGTGTTGACAATATTACTTAGTGAAATGATGACGTCACTACTGTTCTTATACAATTCCCTATAAGGTTATGGTTCGATCTCATCAGTATAGTATGCAAGAAGAGAGAGAAAGAATAATCTTGTGATATGCTGTTATAAATCAAGGACAATCTATTTCTCTTTAAATACACGTAAAAATCATTATGAACACGTTAGAAAATATTTCCAATACCCAGAAAGGAAAATAATCATCGAATTCAAGTCACGATGACCTTATAGGAAACAGATTAGCCAAATTATAAATCTTATAAATTCAATACCATTTGTAGAATGTTTTTAGGGAATGAGTAGAAAACATAAACCTTTTTATTTTGAAGTTAAATTCCTCAAAAATGGTTAAATTAAATTAAAATAAAGTAAAAAATAATTTAATTTATCGAAAAGCCAATATGAAGTATATAATATTATAAAAAATATACGCTAATCCTTCAATTTTGTTTTTCAAATATCAAATAAAAAATAGGATGACGACATCTGAGTGACGTTTTTAGGGATGGCCAAGAGAAATAATGACCATAATAAGCAAAAAAAATAATGACCAAGTTATGGAATGTTGTTGATTTTACTTTTACTATAAGAAATTTGAGAAAAATTTAATTTTTCGTATTAAAAAACTCGCATAATAATCAAAAAGACAGCAGTACTACTTTTACATTATTCCCAGTGAGATCTTTGAGTACCCTGAATTTACATACATCTAACTATACTAGTAAAAATATTATGAATTTACACGTTATTATGATTAATTCAATAAAAATTTATACAGCGACTTTTGTTATTCAAAATATTTAGACTATAATTCAATGAAACCACTACAGCCTAAGTAAATAGAACTGTTTTGACTTGTATATTTGAAACGTGTTAAAACATACATATAAAATGACCGACCATTTAATAATATATTCTTAAATAATTCATTTTTTCTATTGATTTTATTTTTAAATATGCCACTTAAAAAATAAATCAACTTTCTCATTTTATTAATTATATAATTTTAAACAAAAAATATAAACAAAAAATATTTTAAAAAATTTAAGAACATGTTATTGTATTAGAGTAATGAGAGTTCATTCGGGCATCTTTAGAGCAAGGCAAATTTGCTTAGCTTAGAAGCCAAGTTATTAAAAATTTGATTTATACTTATTTCGTTAAAATAGATCTAATATCTAAGTAAAAAGCCGTATAACACTTGTATTATGCAAAAATCTAGTAATTCCTCACAAATACGACCATTTTGCTTAGTACAAGTTAATATATGTCTCTTATATTTAGTTGATTTGGGTTGTTTATGCGGTTACAGCAAATTTATCATAAATTAATTCTTTGATTAGAAATATTAACGAGTCCCTAGGTAGTTTTAAAAATAGAACGCGCAGCAGTATCAT